TGGTTCACATTCTCATAAGCTGCGGACAGGTCTGTGAAGACTTCTTTTAAGTGATTTTTATTAATAGAATGTATGATTACAAGGAAAGTGGGGGAATATTTGTGGAGGAGATAGTGAAGTAGGAAAAGAGATATGTAAGAGAGTAATAACACAACCAATGAAAACGGAGGGGAAAAAATAAAAAGCTTGTGTCAAGACCCAGAAGGCACACGCTGAGTTACAACAGCTTGTCCATAGGATTTACAGATCCCCTCCAAAAATGTGGGGAGAAAAAGTGTGTGTGTGTGTGTGTGTATAGTGTGTATATATATAGGACTCCCATCTATTCTTTGAAGATACTGAATAATTTTTTTCTCCTATATTATTAGTAAAATAAAAAGATTCTTCCCTCTTTCAGTTCTTCTTCAACTTCTGATTAGTCTTTTCAAAGGATAATCTCTATTTTTTGTTGTTTAAAATAGCTTTTTACCATGTCCCAGTTTGTATATTTCTTTGGTGTTCCTTCATTTGGCCAATACGTGATTTTGTCCATGTTCATTACTTCCAATATTTTATGTTGCCGGATCCCCTTCCCGATTTTTTCACTGCCCTATCTCCCAGTGTTTTCAATTATAATCCTTGAATTCGCCCTGCCCACTGTGATCATTCTTAGTGTTTAATGTTTTGATTTTTTACTGTTGAAACTTCCAGTGTTGTTTTCTCTTTTTTGTCCCGTTCAGCGGTCTGTAAGTGTCGATGTGTCTTGTCAGGTATACTAGACCTGGAAAATAAGTTGGGTAATATTTCTTCCCCTTCTTCCTCCATTGGGCAGTTTTGGCAGCGGTCAGATTGCGCCTTGACCTTTTCAGACCTAAACGGTTCCGGCCCTGCTTACCTCTCCGAACGCATCTCCACCTATGACTACAACAGAGGAGATTCCATCTGAACATTAGGAAGAACTTCCTGACTGTGAGAGCCGTTCAGCAGTGGAACTCTCTGCCCCGGAGTGTGGTGGAGGCTCCTTCTTTGGAAGCTTTTAAGCAGAGGCTGGATGGCCATTTGTCAGGGGTGATTTGAATGCAATATTCCTGCTTCTTGGTAGGGGGTTGGACTGGATGGCCCATGAGGTCTCTTCCAACTCTTTGATTCTATGATTCTATGAACCGATTAGGACATTAAGATCGTCTGGGGAGGCCCTGCTCTCGATCCCGCCTGCGTCACAGGCGCGTTTGGCGGGGAC